ACTAGAGGTAGTATAGCAATTCCCCCATCTATCTGCCCATGTACCCATGCATCTGCCCATGCACCCATGCGTCTGCCCATGCACCCATGCGTCTGCCCATCCACCCATGCGTCGGCCCATCCACCCATGCGTCGGCCCATCCACCCATGCGTCGGCCCATGCACCCATGCGTCTGCCCATCCAACCATGCGTCTGCCCATCCAACCATGCATCGGCCCATCCACACATGCGTCGGCCCATGCACCCATGCGTCGGCCCATGCACCCATGTGTCTGCCCATCCAACCATGCGACTGCCCATCCACCCATGCGTCGGCCCATCCACCCATGCGTCAGCCCATCCACCCATGCGTCGGCCCATGCACCCATGCGTCTGCCCATCCAACCATGCGTCTGCCCATCCAACCATGCATCGGCCCATCCACACATGCGTCGGCCCATGCACCCATGCGTCGGCCCATGCACCCATGGGTCTGCCCATCCACTCATCCAACCATAGGACTGCCCATCCACCCATGCGACTGCCCATCCACCCATGCGTCTGCCCATCCACCCATGCGTCTGCCCATGCACCCATGCGTCTGCCCATCCACCCATGCGTCTGCCCATGCACCCATGCATTGGCCCATCCAACCATGCGTCGGCCCATCCACCCATGCATCGGCCCATGCACCCATGCATCTGTCCATCCAACCATGCGTCTGCTCATCCAACCATAGGACTGCCCATCCAACCATGCGACTGCCCATCCACCCATGCGTCTGCCCATCCACCCATGCGTCTGCCCATCCACCCATGCGACTGCCCATCCACCCATGCGTCTGCCCATCCACCCATGCGTCTGCCCATCCAACCATGCGATTGCCCATCCACCCATGCGTCTGCCCATGCACCCATGCGTCGGCCCATGCACCCATGCGTCGGCCCATCCAACCATGCGTCGGCCCATGCACCCATGCGTCAGCCCATCCAACCATGCGTCAGCCCATCCAACCATAGGACTGCCCATCCACCCATGCGACTGCCCATCCACCCATGCGTCTGCCCATCCACCCATGCATCTACACATCTATCCATCTACTTACACATTTGTCCATCCTTTCCCCGTCCACTCATCCATCTACTCACTCACACATCCATCAATCCATCTATCCATCCAGCCACCCGCCCACCCATTCATCCATCTACCCACTCACACATCTATCAATTAATCCATCCATCCATCCATCCATCTCCTCATCCATTCATCCATCCATTCATCTACCCATCCACCCATCCTCTCATCCATCTATTCACTCACACGTCCATCCATCCACAGACCCATCTAACCACTCATACCTGTATCCATCCATCCACCTACTCACACATCTATCACACATCCATCTACTCAAACTTTCATCCATCCATTTGTCCATCCATCCACCCATCAACTCATCCATCTATCCACTCACATCCATCCATCCACCCACTCACACATGTATCAATCCATCCTTCCATCCAGCCACACATCCATCCACCCATTTATTGTAAAGATCTACTGAGGACCCATTCTGTATGACTAACTGTGCTGGAACTGAACATGAGGGAAAGGATGAATATGTCACTGCAAACAACAATGTCTAAAACTATCTGTGTAATAAAAGAACCACTGAGAGTTGGAAGTTGTCACACCAGACCTGTGCTCAAGAGTAACACTCAGAAGAATCAGGCAGAGCACACTGACAGGATGTCTCGACATGAACTGATAGACGAGTCATGACCTGGTCTCTACAATCTTCACTAAGATAATTACAGGCATGGCTCATCCTACCTCTTAGCCATACTATTAGGGAAATTCTTTCTTGTGGATGTTATTCTCCACCGTTACTGAGTCCTGTTGGTAGGAAGAAGGGGTTGTAGAATCTAATTTGCTGCTAGCTCACAGGCCAATGATGAGAGTTTGTGATGCTTAGTGATAACATGCTACGATATCCTGTTAAATCTGCATTCAGTAAGGCCAAACTTATAACCAAAGTACTTCCTAAATATGTTCATGTCATTGCATTTAGTCATATCCATAAAATATTAACTTATAGGTTTATTAAAATTTGTTTTAGGAAGAGAATTTTGAATAATCTTAGAATTTACAACAACAGAATCATAAAAGTGCATGGTAATTTTTATTACCTTGAGAAGCTTTGCATGGAGAAGCAAGGTGTATGCCGCTTCTGTGTAGTTATCACACTCTCTGTGTAGGTCACAGAGCTTGTACAAGTACCTGAGACAACAAAAAGGAGGTATGCTCTTAAAATGTCACTAAATAATCTGTATGGAGGATTGTGGAGCTAAATTCTACATACATCAGTAAATCATATCTATACTTTCTTTTTATAATGTTCATAATTCACTATGCCTTGAAAACTTTTGGTGCAGAAAGCACTACAAAAAGCCAACAAGAGTAACGTACAATAATATATCTATATTCTTTTTAAAATTTTAAGTCTTTTCCTCTTGAGATAAAAATGAAGACAACACATAAAGGTGGAATTTTACTTCAAGAGTTTCTCATTCCTTTTCATCTTTTCCAGATTTTTCCTTAAACATTTGAAATGAGATTACACAACCTTTGATTGTGATTTCCTGCATTTTTACCGAATCCAAATGCCCAAAAAATCCATGAAAATATAAAATCCGTAAGAATGAAGAACTCCAGTGATCACAGTGAGTGTGATCAAAACAATCTATGCTATAAAGAAATAAAAGTTGCTTTTAATATAAAGCAATTTGTATTTTGGATGAAAGAGTCTGTTTTTCAAAGTTTATTAAATGCGTATAGTAGTTTTTTAAAAGCCAAAAAATCCATGAAAATATAAAATCCGTAAGAATGAAGAACTCCATTGATCACAGTGAGTGTGATCAAAACAATCTATGCTATAAAGAAATAAAAGTTGCTTTTAATATAAAGCAATTTGCATTTTGGATGAAAGAGTCTGTTTTTCAAAGTTTATTAAATGCGTATAGTAGTTTTTTAAAAGGAGAAGTAAAAAAAATTAGAAATAAAAAATTAGACAACCATACTCAGTGTAATAAACACATCATTAAACACTGTGCCATGTGGCTTACATTCTTATCCTATTCTTTGAAGTGGTAATCTTGCTAATTATTTGACCCTGGACCCTAAAAAGTGACCAGGAAAGAGAGAGACTTAATCACAGTCCACCATTCTAGATAAAAAGGCAACCAAGGGAGCACAATCCAGCAGACAATGCAGGACAGATTTCTTCTTTCATGGGAAAAAGACATAGAAAAACATGGGAATATGGTATCACTTAAATAAGAGTAGACTGAAAAATTATAACCTTGCCAATTTCTGGTAAAGTTATAACTGGATTTCTTATTTGGTCATATGACTTACTGTGAAACATTAAAATTTGTAGTGTTAACTTTTTTCAAAAGGGCCACATGAGTTAGTCAAGAGGCACAAAAGCCTTCTAAAATAATCATTTATAGTTTTGCTCCCAAGTTGATTAAATGTGACCTCCCCAAAACTCTGCATTGGTATGGGCAAACCACGCAAGGGCTGAGAATACATCTGGGAGCACTTCCAAACTCAACCTTAGAGGCTTCATGATTTCCTACGAAATAAACCCCTGTGGTTAAAAAACATTTCTTAGCATGGACTTGACAAATAGCAATTATGATAAACATGCAGAGGGAGCAGGCAAGCATAAATGCACGCATACCTTATATACATTTCTTCTCTTTCAATTTCTTTGTAGAAATTCTAAAAAATTAAAAAATAACACCGTTTTCAGAAACTTGTTCCACAAAAGGTATCACATGCACATTAAAAACTCAAGGTTCTTCAACTAATGTCAAACATTGCCAAATGTACCCAGCTCTTTGGATTAGAACCACAAACTCACATACATTGCAAAACCATGTTACACCGTTCTTTGTTTTTTTGCTTTTCCTGTGATTACATTTCCTACACTTTGAACACTGGGATGACTAAAATCTACTTCTGTCATTTGAAAGTCACTTGTCTTGAGTAAAAATGAGATATTGTCCAAAGACATGATACGTGAGTCATTGTAATCTCAATAAATGCATAAATAAATACATTAATAAATAAAGAGCCCAAATTTGTGAATAAGCAAATAAGCCTCATCAACATGATTTAAAGCACGCTGGGCCCAGCCTCAGCAAGAGCCAGAAGAAGGCTATTTTAGGCCTGAGGTGTCCAATACAATAACCACTAGCCACTTATATTTACAGGTAAAATAAATTTAATTAACATTAGATGAAGTTAAGAGTTTACTTCCTCAGTTACACTTGCCACACTTTGAATGCTCAATATCCACATGGGCTAGTGTTTCTGCAGGAAACAGTACAGACATAGTACACTCCATCATCCCAGAAATTTCTACTGGATAGTGCTGTTCTAGACAGAGCTTCTAAACCACAGATAATGGTTAAAAAACCCCTTGCGTATAAACACTGATGGAGAAAGTTTAGTTAGCAGGTTACAACCAATGGCCTATTTCTACATATTACTGTAACCTATCTTCTGGCTGAGCATAAATATTTCTATCAAGATCATATTTATTAATGTGAATATTAATGTGAATATCTAGAAACACCTTAAAATCTTTATCATACACTTTATCACACCAGAAAGTCACCGGACAAGGCCTAAGGTATGGAAACATCATAGCTAGGTTCAGTGTGAAATTTAGCACCTGACAACGATGTTAGAACTCTAGAATCAGGGCCTGAAATAACTAGCGATAACGCCATTAAACAGACACACAATTATCCAGTAAGATGACATAATCTCTTTAATTTCATTAGTAAAAAAGCCATTGCTTCCAAGCTTGATCTCTCCGGAAAGAAATGATAAATAAGTATAGAAAGTAAACAGGGCCACATTTAGAAAAACACACCAAGATTTTCAAATTTTGCTGCATCTGACATTTTCACGTCCTCCATTCAGTTCATATGACACAGCTTGGTAATGAGGACATTTTCAGCTGACAATTTAGAGCAAAGTCACAGAGAGAATCTGCACCGAAGGCAGAGAATGAGCCCTTCACTTGCAGCCCTAACTCACCAGTATTACAGGCTATGATTTCACACCATCTCTTTTGTACTCATATTTTCAATCCTTTCCTAAGGTTTTGATCATTCTCCTCTACAATCTCACAATGGGGATGTCATGTGACCTTCCTTCCTCTCTCAGAGAGGTGGAAAAGTCTTCTATTTTCTGCCTGTACTGAGTTCTGTTCCCTTCCTAGGACTTCAAAACCGCTCTGCAACCGAAGTACGCTCATCTCAAATCTCAATTTCTATTTAAAGCCTTTGTGCGTCCTGCGTGAGCGTTCACACTGTGAGTGCTCCACTTCTGGCTGTGCAGGCAGCGTCCTCGGCCCCCATGGTCTTCTCTCTCAAGTCCCGCCAGCCAGCACTGGCTGTCGTCTGTGCTGGGCTCGAATCGTGCCTCCCACAGGAACCGCAGCAGGCCTGGTCCCCACAACGCTGATCCACTGCTAGGCATTGATCTTTCAGAACTTAGACATTTTTATTACGTTTCAATTTTGCATTCCTTCAGGACGAAACAGTACCAAGAGTTTTAGAATTCTGGTCCTACCCCTGCATTAATGAGCCCCGTAAAGGGGCCACGAAGAAAGCCACTGACATCTGTAAAATAACGATGATTCTACCAGTCTTAGAGATGGGATATGTTGATGATTACATGGTGACACACAACAGCATTAGCCACCAATAATTAAAGACCGCTTGATTATGAGGTGGCAATACAGAGCTAGTTACAGAATTACAAATATGCATCGTGTCTGGTGGGGACCGTGATCCAATATACATGCAGACGTGCTTGCAGGTGACTTATGTGGCTGGGCACAGTAACTGCTTATGTCTTTTATTTTTTCATTTTAATTTGTGTGTGTGTTGTGTGTTTTTATGTGCAGGGAAGAGTAGTACATTAATGAGCCCACATGACTTAGAATGTTCTACGGGGGTTTTTTTGTTTTGTTTTTAAAAAAACAGCACAGCTTCAAAAGGAAATTTGATGATGGATTTAAAGGGCATTGATAAAATCGATGTTCTGTATTTCACTTTATTTTTTAACTGTAGGATTTTATGGGGATTTCTGCTTAGTGATAAATTAAGTACATTTTACACATCTCTAATATATATTTATATTCATTTGGAGATGGATATACATTCATCTCTATGAAACTTTGTTTCTATAATAAAAGTATCAGGAGAAAAGGTAAACATGGATCAGAAGATTAAAATATATCTATATCTATATGTCTGTCTATCTAACTTCAAAATTGTAAATATTTAGTGACAGGACATCTATCTGTAAAACTTTGGTTTCTTGCTTCTCTTTACTCCATAGATGTAATTTTTTAAATAAAAGAACTATAATGGGTTAGGATCCATTTTATCATCCCCAGGCAATGGATAAGAATAACATACTTGACTCTTCTACAATGATTCAGGAAGTTGCAATTTGAAGGAAATAAATAATGTCATGTAGTCTCAGGAATGCTGGGTGCGCTTCTTAGTTAAAACTGAGCTGGTGCTGACCGCAGTAACAGCAGGTAGGCACTGGGCCAACCTTTGAATGAAAGAGCACGTATGTTAACGTCAGAAGCTGTGTTTGCTGAGGTCCTGACAAGAGTTTGTTTCTCGACCTGGATTCAGGTGATATGAAGCCATTCAGAGCCCCACCATTTTTCCACCAGGTTTCATGTCTTGGTGAGCAGAAGAGAACTTGCTTAAAACAAATAGAAGTCTCAATCATGAAAGTTGGAAACCTAATAAATTTAATAATTCTTCCTCTGGACACATATCAATTTCTTCAGAGGGAGCGCTGTACAATTAGGTCCATGGTAGGGAGTGATTTTGAAAAGATCTCCATTTCTTTCACACAGAAAAATACTGGTTTCTGTTTCATGTGAACCACATTGGCACCAGGAAAGTAAGTTATTTTGGACAGAGGCAGGAATGCAAGGAGACAGTGAAGCAAGGGCCAGGTGCTCTCCTATGCACAAGATCAAGGCCAGTTTCCCTGGGGCAGAGCTCACTGATGTGCTACTCACAGTCAGCCGACCAGCTGACCAGACCCTCAGTATGTACGTGAAAGTGTATTTAGATTTTACAAACTCACTGATTCTTTCCCCGGTGTGTCCAGTCTCTTGATGAGGCCATCAGAGCATTCTTCATTCTGTTAGTGTTTTAGATTACTAGAATTTCTTTTTGATTCTTTCTTAGAGTTTCTGTTTATATTACCCATCTGTTCTTGCATACCGTTCACTTTTTCCATTAGATCCCTCAGCATATTAATCATAGTGATAGGAGGTGCTGTTTCCCTGGGCTGGGGTTTCAGGACATGCCTCTGGGTTTCCAGCCACTCTCTGAGGTCTCAGTCCCCTGCTTTTGGCTCTCCCCTGGAGGAAACCTACTGTTGCCAGTTAGACCTATTTTTAGCACCAATCAGGGGAAAGTGAGACTATAGGGAGCTGGTTTATGCAATCCAGTGGCTGGGCATGCTCAATAGACAGCACAGAACATTCTGGTGCATGTAACTGGGAACCACCCCCCTAATTGAATATTCATTAGATAAGAGAAACTACAAAAGACAAATCCCAGCTGGAGGCAGGGCTGCTGCTCACTCTCCTGGAGACAACCACACTCTGCTCGCTGAGGTGTGTGTATGTTTTACTTTGTATTGAACTTTCTTTCAGCAAGTGGCCACTCACTCTCTTGAGCCAGCCTGCACTTTGTACTGGACTTTAAGTATGTTTTTCTTGCTTCTGTGTTAGACTTGATGGGTGTACTGAACTTGCTTCTGTGTTACTCGGCGTGGGCCCTGCTCAGTCTCTGGAGCTATGCTGCACTCTCTCCGTGGAACCTGTATTTCTTATCTATTTTATTAAACTTGTTCTCACTGCCTACTGTGACTCTGTCCATGAATTCTTTCCTGTGGTGGAGTCAAGAACGTAGTAAGAGGACTGGCGGGTTGAGGACGACTACTGGGACCCCTAGACCCTACCTCTGACCATCAATAGTTGCTTTAAATTCCCAGTCTGATAATTCCAAAACCTCTCCCACATCTGAGTCTGGTTCTGATGTCTGCTCTTTCTCTTCAGACGGTGCTTTCTGTCATTAGTATGCTTTGTAGTTATCCGCTGAAAGTGAACATGATACACTGGGGTGAGAAAAATCTAGTACTGGCTCCAGCAGTGGTTTCTATTCCTGGGCTTCTGCTCTCTTAAGCTGTGATTCTCCGTATCCATCCTCCTGTCTGTCCAGTTTTGAGGGCAGTAGTTTGCTCTGTGGCTCTACGAAAATGGATCTCAGAAGACTTGTTGATTTTTCAATTTGTTCAGCTTTTTTCTTGTCATGAGAATAGGAGTGACAATTTCCAAGCTCCTTACATGCTGAAGCAGAAACCAGAAGTCCCCCATATTTAGATTTTTACAGAAAAGAAAACTTGCTATAGAAAATGCTTATCCTTAGCCTAAACAGGTTGCTCAGCCACAGAATGAAGGGGCTAAGACTGCTCATGAGCTTTTAGCTGTGAAGATCCTCATGGCAAAGCACAGATGCAGTGTAGATGCTGAAGTGAACAGAAAGTGAAAATATTCCTATTGTTTATCTTTTTAATCCAAGTATTTCTGAAGAATGAATGATATGTCATTTTCTCCCTGGCACAAAAGTCCATTTCGCTGAGTTCAAAGTGCTGGCAAGTCTGAATGACAGGTACAGAAGTGAGGGCTCAGAACTCACATGCTGTCCAGGGACCAGGCAGTGACACTGAAATCCAGATGCCAGTGCTGGGAAGAGAAGCGAGGCGAGCAGAGTGAAGCGGGAGTGGTGTTTCCTGCATCCTGCCTTGGGATGGGCAAGGGGAGTTGGGGGAAGCCCACCACAGCCAGGAGTCAGCCTTCCTGGCTCCTTATGGGAGCAGTGGGGGTGGGGGGGACGACGACAGAGCCCTCTGAAGCCAGGAATGGGAGTTGCGTGGCTGCCGAGAGCCTCATGGTCTACCGAGCACTCCCTGGAGTTGAGCTTGTCACAAAGCTCCCTAAAGGCTCGTCAGCCCTAATGCAATTCCTGGATGTGCCTCACTGAGGCCACAACTGCATCAGGAAGGGGGTGTCCACAGAACCCGCCACATGACACAACAGCAGGAATGCAAAAGGACCACGGGATGGCAGTAGCCGCATTCACCCATGCCACCTGCAATCCACGCTGCCCTGCGTTGCTTTCCTGGGGCTGCTGTAACAAATCACCGCAAACTTGGCAGCTTAAAACAATACCTATGCATCCTCTCACAGTTCTGAAGGCCAGAAGTCCAAAGCCAAGGTGCCAGCAGGGCTGTGTGCCATCTGGAGGCTTTAGGGGAGGAGGCTTCCTGGCCTCTTCCAGCTGCTGGTGGGTGCAAGCATTCCTTGGCTTGTGGCGGCGTCACTCCGGTCTCTGCCTCCGTCTTCACGTGGCCTTCACCTATTTCTGCCTTCAGTCTCTTACGAGGACATTTGTCACTGGATTTAGTCCCCACCACCACCACCACCCTGTAACCCCAGGGGATCTCACCTCAAGATTCTTAGCTTAATTAGATCTGTAGGAATCTTTTTCTATGTAAGATCACATTCACGGTTCTGAGGAGGAAAATGTGGACATTCTTTAAGGGGCCATCACTCAAACCACTCACTATAGGACATGTTTACAGTCTCCTAATGATGAAGCCTTAAGGCCTGGAATCAATGACAGGTACCCGGTCACAAAAGACGATGGCTCGTTATTCTTAACAAGAGAAAGAAGTATGTGAAAACATCCAGAGGGGAGACGATTTTACAGACTACTTTACACTGGATCTGCAAACAATTTTTTGTTATTCCTTCCCTGAAACAGATTAAGAAACAAGAAAAGGAAGCTGCATTGTGCCATAGAAAACCATGGCCGGCTGTCATAAGGGCTTTTGAACTTGCTGGTTGAGTTTCTGGCATGCTGTAAAGACTGACATTTTAATTAACTTTTCACTCACCAGCACGTTGACGGTGCAGCTCATGCGATTTTCTTTGTTCTCATCATGCATGATGGTTCTGTAATCCAGAAGTCTCTCCATCAGGCGCACAACAAGTTTTACAAAAGTTTCTCCTGTTTTGGCGAGGTATTTATGCTTCCTGCAGTGCTCCAAGAGGCTGAAAAATAATTACACACACCTTGTTAATCACACTCAGAAAAAAGAACTCGACGGAGGTGCAATTTTAAATATTTTCCATTATTAACACATTTTAATTATTTCTGGGCTACAAAGTTCATTGTAGTCTAATTACAGTCTCTCCATCTCTCTTCTGACATAAATCCCCCTGCTCATCAACACTTACATTTTATCAAATAACACTTTGTACTGTTCGTCTCCTCGGCCGCCTTCCACTTCATGATCCAGTTTGGTGATGATCTCATTTTCAAACTATAATTAAACAGAGGAAGCATAAACAATCAGCATGGCGGATATTTCATTTTATGAGTCGAGCATCAATCGTCCATAAATCGGCAAGAGACCATCATCAGACAGCTACCCTCTGCCTTTGAAGCCTGAGTTCATTTAAGAGTTGCCATTCCTGGGCCCCTGGAGGTTTCGGATCACCCACGGCCACAGGGAATCTTTCACTCCTTCCTGGTTAATGGGGCCTGAACGTGCACATTCTGATAGCAGGAGCAGGAACCAGAGAAAGAAAGACAAGGAAACCGTAGGGGGGAAAAATTAAGAAGCAACATGAAAAAACATCTTGAACTTCATCTCTATGAACAAGTAACATCTAAAATAGCTCATGGGTTCCTGGAGCAGAACAGATGGCGTTTCACTTGCTAGGGAAGAGTCCTCGGCACTCTGAAAACATCCAAAGGCCACTTCACTGCCATTCCTTGATGGATCCTAGTGAAATATTTCACTCCGGTTAAAAAAATATAAAAAGTGAGAGGGGCCATGTCCCTAAGGACAGTCCAGAGGTCCGTCAAGAAGGTCTGTCTGCCGGCCCCTCTTCCACTCCCCGATCCAGACACCTGCCTGAATCCACTGCAGATGGAATCCAGGCTGCAGATGAAACGAAGGTTCAAAACAGGGCTAGACAGAATATGATGCTTCCTTAACACCAAGGACTCAGCAAGGTCACAACCCAGACCTTAGTGAGTCTCTTCAGTTCTCTTCTTGATCTTTTCCAAGGTCTCCTCCCCCAAATAAACACCTCTTTTTGAGTCTGTTTGGCCTAAGAAGTGCAGATATTTTAGGAACACAGAAAGAGATGGCTCTACTGAAGACAACATGCCTTTTTTTCATCTGAAGTTTCGTGATAATGACCTTTACAGTGAAATAACAACGTTTTACAGTAAAATAACTAACCCACTATTACTCTGCTCTTTACAGAAGAGAATCTGCAAAAGGTGGTTCTTTTTGGAACCTAATACAAGGGAGATCACTTGCTACTAGCCTAAAAGTTGGATTTCAAGGCAGTTCCATCTCACAGAAGGTGTCATGATTGGGACTCCACAGACTAAATGTTTGATGAGTGTAATCAAGATACAAAATAAGACTAAATTTAATTAAAACATACAATTCAATTCCAAACCTGTTTAATGAATACCTACAATGAAGGTGAAGAGAATGCCAAGAAACATGCCTTATCCTAACATGGGCAAATACACACAGGCTATTTAAAATAGTGACCACTTGTCAATCAGAAGGTATTCGAACTTGGAGTCTACTTTATGAAAACTGCATGTTTTCTCTGCTTCCACGTAAACCTAGCTGTCACAAACAGGCAACGAGGAAGCTCCGCTCCTTAAGTATGCCGCTTATCAAATTTTGACTGATGAACTTAATGTCTTCTAAAAAGAGTGGATGAATGATAAATCAGAACACAGCTGATTCTAATTTTACTAACCTCTCGTCTGAACGAAGCAATTTGCACACACACCTGGCAACCCTATTCTGTTTATCAGTAAGGATTCAATACTAGAGATCTGCAGCTAGCCTCTAATTCCAGGGTCTTCATTAATTTTTACAGAATATACTACAGTCAGTTTGCTAGCGTGCTATGAACTGTTGGCATAATCAGAATTAAATGACCCTATCCAAATAAATTGGAGATAGTACATGTGCTGATAGAGCAGAGCTGGTAAAAATCATGATTATCTTACTTGTAAATGTGTGCTGTCTGGTGATTTGCAACAGGGTTCTCTGTGGTTAGGATAGAATTAGTGAGGGCTTACTGTGTTGCTCAAAAGGTGGTCGAGACTCACTTGTGTGATAACCAAAATCATTATATTTTCCTCTCTTCTCAATCACCAATATTGCTACAAAAATAACCGCGGGGTGTCCAACTTAAAATATCGAACAGAGAGTCTCTAAGCATCTGATGCCAGCGGCCCTCAGAGAGCACGAAATATAAGACAACACATGAATATAAGGCTTTTTGGAAAGTTGCTGTTAAATTGGATGTAATGGAGCAGGGGGGCTTTGCTCATAGTGGTGTTGACATCACTGTTAATTCAATTAACTTAAAAAAGAACCATTGCTGTTGCTGCTCACTGCCCCAGTTAACTGTAGGTACTGGCTCCTATTCGAGAGATCATGGAGAGAAGGATCCCACTAGTGGATAATCCAAAAGCCAATTACATTTGATTTGAAATGCATAATTTTTGTTTTGGGTGAGAATTCCCATTCTCACTATAATGCATTTATGAATGTATGAAATCAGGCCTGCGTATTCCAGGCATCCAGGAACAGGCTTTTAGAGAAGAGACCTGGAGTTATGTGGGAGCACGGTAGGAGGCTGGGCCAGGGTGGAAGGTTTGCCCAAATAATTCACCACATCGACAGAAGGCTTAGAGATTATCAAAAGCTGGGAGAAATCTGAAATCTATGGATCCGGTCTGCTAAGAACGTTAGCAAAAGGGCTTCTTTGACCCTTTACAAATAAACCTTAATAAAGTTTGCTCTTTGCCCAAAATGCTCTATTTCCTCCTGTTTTTCAAGAAAAAAATGTTCAGAAGATACTGCAGGTAGGAGCATGGTGTTTGACCACCTCAGAAAGCACCTGGGAATCAGATTCTCTTTGCTGTCTCCTCCTGTAGATGGAACTGGGCTAATCTGTTGGAACCGCCCAGCCAGGCCCTTTCTTGTTAGCATTTACGGGAGGAAGTGGGCGAGAGAAAGTCACCCAGATGTATGGGGGAGAAAACACGGCCAAGAAGGAACTGCAAGGCGGGGCAGAGAGAAGCTTGGCACTTCAGAACCCTTGGGGCTTCACATGTTGACATCCTCAAAGTTTCTGATCCTTCCCAATCTATCACTCAGCCTTTAATCCCTGTGCTCAGACACACTAATATTTTTATGTATATCACATTCCTCCTGCCCAACTGCTCTGTAAACTTAATTACACACTTAATTAATCTCTGGCGCTTCATCCCACATTCTAAAACCTCCACCTCCTCCTATGTCCATCAAGCAGGCGGCTCGCTGACCTTGAAGCTTCTGTGAAACACTCAGGAGCCTGGAGGACCCACCGCCGCACACGTGGGGCAGCCTGGCCGGGGACCTGTCTGCTGCCTGGCTGCTCCGCATGGCCGACCCCTGAGACAGGCGCAGCTGCTTGCATTTCCACCTGACACAGATTGAGGTGTGACTCTTGGGCTGCATGCAGTCACAGTGAACTCTTGGAACATGGTCTCACTGCAAGTCCTGTTTAATTTGGTTAGAGGAGATTATGGGAGTTTGGATATTTCTTTGCCGGAGGATTTTAAGACCAAAATTCAACATAATCACAACTCCTGGAGTCCAGGGTATTGGTGTCCATGACCTGTCAGGCTTGGGTCTGGATTCCATGAAATAAAAGCCTACTTCTCGGGCCATAGTTCCTATTAAAGCATCCAAAGCAGTAACATCAAGTATTATTTTGAAATTTAAAGCAAAAATAAACAGACCAACAAATAAAATCCCAATGAATTAAAGAATAAACAAAATAAAATTGCCACCAAACTTATTCACACTCATATTACAGTGCAAAATATATTGGCTTTTCCACGAAGTGGCAGAAGCTGCCAACATCCATGTGGGTTATTCAATTATTTGCTTAAGGTTACCGGCATGGGCAGCGGGGGGAGATTATTCAAACAGGAACTCAGAAACACTGACGACAGAAAGATTACTCATGTCCTAATACTGTTACAACTAAATGGGAATTTCTGGAAGTTGTGGAGCATTTTACTGAGCCTCACAAAGATGACAGAAAAAAGCTCCATGATTGAAAGTATTACTTTCCTGTGTAGCCTTTTCCATTCCATTTTTATTAATGGTATATGGCCCATATGGTCATTTCCTGCAATTCTCAGCTGTTAGTTCTGTATTTTCCAAAGGCATAACAAATGGAATTCTTTAAAAAGATGCCAGGAGAGAATTTAAATGTATACTTTTTTTATGGAGCAAAATCCACTGTGAAGCTGAGACCAGAGTGTTGTCCACTGGAGGGTAGGTCATTTGTGAGCTGGGGGGGTGGTCAGTTTAGGCCAGGTGAGAGCTGGTCTTATGCTACCAAAGCCAGGCAGGTGAACCATACAAGGGGCACGAAGATGCTGACGGCTTCCAGCGTCCCCCATCCTAGTTTAGCAGATCCTGAAATCCTCACAATAAGATCTCTCCTTTGAAAAAAAAGAGGAAGGTTTCCTAAAGTCCTCAGATTAAGCATAAACTTCCTACTTTGGGATTGGGGCGGGGGTGAGGTGGGGACAGGGGACAGTGAAGAGCTGCAGGGAGGGCTCAAGGAGCTGACAAGCTGTAAGAGGGCACAGAGTGTGTCCTCGGGGGTTAATGAACAGTAGAAGCAGTGGGCGGAAACAATTTAGGAGCATGCATGGGACATCCAGTTCATAAAGGGGTCTGGGAAAGGGCTGGAAGAACCGGGATGGCCAAGGGCAGCTGGAGCATGAGAAGCACCAGGAGAAAATGAAAGAGGAAAAAGAGATGAGAAACAGGCTTTTGTTGAGGAGAAACGTCCTTGGACAGGGCAGCATCAAATGATGTGGGAGGGCGGCCAGAGTCCCTTCGGGTCAACGACAGCTGCCCGGGGGCAGGGGAGGGCCCAACTGAGGGACACAGCTCCAGGAGCGTCCAGCTGAGGCTCTCAAATGTCTTCCTGCCTCCTTGCTGCCTGGAGCATCCACAACCCAAGCACTAAGGAGGAAAAGGAAACCCCTCACAGGCGGCCCTGTCCACATCATTACACAAACCGAGATGGAGATGAATTAGTACAGAGGGGATCTGGGGATGGGTGGGAGCCGTTCAGACCACGAACAAGTTACACAGCATCCAACCGCTCATGTCTTCCTGTGAGCCACAGATCTGCTGTGGCTGTGAACACCAGCCCACAAGGAAGCATGTTATGTTGCAGGTGAGAAGAATTTCTAAAAGAACCA